TTGTAGTAGTGTTTAGACGAGGATGAACAAGCACCAGGTCATTTGAGGACATGTTTCATTTCATTTCATTGTCTCTGTCTCATTTCATTGTTAAATTTCTTACAATGTTTCTTAATTGTGTAGGAAAATAGAGCAAATTACTCTCAAGTTGGTTTTTCTATGGCTACAAATGCTCAGATGCCTCCAAGAGCACCTGCTACTACTGCTCCTGAACCAAGACCAGCTACAGCACGAACTACAACTTCTGCACCTTCACCAGCTCCAGTTGCTACTTCCAGGGCAAAAAAGGGTTGCTTCAACTATTCCAGCAGCAATAGCACAAGGACCACCAGCTAAGAGGAGCAGGACTAACACTTCTACTGTTGCTAACACTTCTCCTTCTAAGAACACCAGATCATCTACAACTTCTCCAGCAAAGAACACCAGATCTTCAAGTGCCCAGAGAAGAACATTCATTGCACCAAGGCAATCAACTTCAACTGTTGTCCAGGCTGGGTCAAAGAGGATCAGGAAGCCAAGTGGGAGGCTGAAAGACTACTTTTATGCAAGTGGTAACTAGCATGTCTTGGTCTGAACTTGAGTTCATTTGGCATGGTTCTGTTTGTGTAAGTGAACAAATGTGGATGGATTTGGGTCTACTATGGTTTGTAATGACTATACTTTATTTTGTTTTAGAGATATTCAGTCAGTTGAACTACCATGGTTTGTAATACCTACTATTCAGTCAGTTCATTCAGAAAGACATTCATGTGTTGATTCAGTCAGTGTATCTTCTGTCAGTTAATTCAGTCAGTAGATTTCAGATCCACAACATACATTCATTCAGACTAGCATAAATACATAGATACATGGATTCAGAGCAGCATCAAACACCAGTATTACATAGAATTGAATAGATCTTATATAGAACACCAGATCTTACATAGAACACCAAGATAGAAAGATAGATAGCTAGATAGATAGATAGATAGATAGATGGATGGATGAGATGAGATTGACAGATCAGTCATAGCGCACGAAGAATCGACCCCGCTTAGCCCTAGTAGCTGGATGAGGAGCCATGACTGCTCTTCTCCTCGCCCAAGATATGATTTGATTGAAACTCCTTCTCCTGCCACCAGGGAAAAGAAGCTCAAGCTCTTCCTCATTGCACTTCTCCAGCACCTTCTCGGTGAGCCGACGGTTGAACTCAAGCTATTGCTTGTCCTGGGCGGCCTCCTGTTCCCTCTGTCTACGCCTCCTCCTTCTCTGTTGTGTTGCTGGAGGCCTCACCTCCATGACCTCTCCCTCCTCCTCTGTTACATCTTCTAGGTCCATGTCAGGATCCATCTAGGGTTTGTTGTGGGTGGCGGCTGCTGGAGTGGCTGGGAAAGGGTGGGTAGGGAGGGGTTTATATTGACAGTGGTGGAGGGGGGGTGGGTTTTAGTAGGCCTAAGTCATTTTCATTTGGTCACAGACTACTGGCCCACTAAGCCCAATACCACTGTACATATCTATAGAGATAACATATAAGACTAATAGAGACTACTGGCCAACAACATATAAGATCCATTACATAACTATATATATAGCATTGGAGATCCATTACAACATACTTAAGAACATAGAAAATATGGTTCTTACATAAGATACTAAAGTTCAAATGTAGTGCCAAACCCTAGGTTAACTTCATATTCCCCCAAAATGTACACCCATATAATCACTTGAGACAGTTAGGCCACATCCTTATACATAGGCCTTGGATGTACTTCATCACCATTTCACAGCACTTCATGACTCAAGGATGGCCTTGATTTGCTCTAACTTCTCCTTGCTGTCATACCCATCTTTCAACAGCTCAGCAACAACTTGCTCAAGCTTTTCCTTCTCCTTCTTAAGAACATCTCTGACAACTTCAACATCCTTCATAGCCTTCCTGGTGTTCTTGATGATATCAGCTTGGCTCTGCAAAATGCACCTCTGCTCATTTGCAAGTTTAAGCTTTTCCATCTGCACCTCCAACATAGCTTTCTCCTCTAGCTCCTTCTTCTTCTTCTCAAGTTCTTCCTCCTCCACTTGTTTTTGGTACACCTTCTTGTCCACCCTACCATCCTGCCAATCAAACATCTTGGATACATCATCAACAAGCTTGGTGTACTCAATGCAAAGCTTGTCATTTTTCATCTTAAGCTTGGCCAACTCCCTTTGATGTTCACTCTTAATCTTGGCCAACTCCTTCTCAAATTTATCCTTGTCAAGTACCCTTCCACAGTTCTGCTCATGGAACATTTCCCATAGCTTGGACAAACATCTCTGTAGAACTGGAGGCCAAGGCCCATCAACCCACTCTACGAACCACAATTCACACCATTTGCCTGCATTTGTAAATGTGATAAGTTAGTGCAAGTTGAGTACTAGCTAATTTCAGTTCCATGATTAACTTGAAATTTTCTAACAATGAAGATATGATAAGTTATTACAATGCCATGATTAAGTTTGCAAAGTAACAAAAAAACATAAGTGAATTTCATATCAGTAAGAAAATGCTGCATCATGTGAGGCCATGAACATCAATATCTAACCTGGACTGGGCAGCCATAGAAACGCCTTCCTATTACAGTGCCTTCAAAAGCAACACGCTTAACATGCCTCATTTGGTGCAGAATGCACTTGGGTTCAGCAAGCTCAAGTTGGCCACGGAAAAGGGGCTCTACAATGGTGTCTGGTTCCTCCTGCAACCAAAAATACACTGGTTTCAATCACTACTCAATACCACAATCAACTAGCATTGTTCATTAACCCTAAACAGTGAAAAAATTCCCAAATCAGCATGAACCCTAACACTGTACAGAGATGAACCCTACATTAGCTCAATCCCCACCCTCACTAATCAAGATCCATATCACAAAGACAACAACAACACTAACTAAGCAAGATCCATGGTTGTAGCCTAGGCCTACTAGCATTTAACCCTAACCCTAGGTGGCAAAGAAAAACTTACCATAAGTCCCATGTCCATGCTGACGACCTCGCAGTCCTTGTCGGAGCTCATTTCCTCGTTTTTCCAGGAAGGCATGGCAGCAAGGAGGTCCTCGGCGACCGACCTCAAAGACGGCGAGCGGTGGCGAGCTCGTATTGAAGCAGGGGAGTGGGAGCAGGGGAGAGAGCGAACAGGGGAGTGAGCGAGCAGCGAGTGGGAGCAGGGTGGGTGGGGTATTTACCTGGTTCCGACCGGACCGGACCGCATGGTCTAACGGCCATCAACAACCGCGCCGTGAGCGCGCGTGCCCACATGCCCTGACAGGTGGGTCCAGACGGTTAGAAAAACGGTTAAATCGCTAGTCACTGGCGTTTTGGGTTTTTTGAAACAGCGGACCGCGCGATTGATAGTTTTTTGAGAAAAAATAAAATCCGGTATTTTTTTAAACCATAGCCTGTAAACTGATAGTTTTATGCTATTTACTCATCCCTGAGGTTCCATGTTGGATCCTTCCTAGTGCTTGTTCTTATTGTTCTTCTTACGTGGAGCTTGCGGTTGGCTAGATCGCACCTAGTTAGGTCCACCCCGGGATTCCTTGTTGGCCTGTGTGCGGAAGCACTGCAGTTGAAGCCCCCACACCCCCAGTTTTTCTGCCAACTCCTGCTCCATCATGTTTACAATAAAAACATGTTTACAATGGGTTATCTATTAGCTTTATCTGTAATAACTAGTTATTCCTTAAAACATGATGAGACATGTTGTGCTAAGAGATCATCTCTTAAATAAGAGAAGAAGTCTTTTCTTAGGAATTCTCTCTTCTCCACCTCAGCATTTATCCCTATGTGGCACTCTTAAAATAGCACCATAGCAAACATTCCTAGCTAGTGCCGCCGCTCGAGAGCAGCATCGTAATGAATGTTGTTTCCAAAAATTTAGAATGTTTTAACTCCCAAATGGCATATTTGATTAACGATCCGTCCTCACCATCGTTTTCGCCTCTGCAAGAGCTTTGATACTAGCTCCGGTATGTGTAGATTTTGACAGCGAAGAGTCATCTTCAAAGTTGCCACCTAGTAATTAACAAAAAAATTGCGAGATAACCTCAAATCTATTCTTCTTCAATCATGATTGTACAAAGAACAACAGAGGTAATAAAAATTACAACCATATCAGTGGACCACCTAGCGACAACTACAAGCACCGGAGCGAACTGAAGGCGCGCCGCTGTCATCGCCCTCCCTCACCGGAGTCGGGCAAATCTTGTTGTAGTAGACAGTCGGGAAGTCATCGTGCTAAGGCTCCATCGGACCAGCACACCAGAGTAGCAACCATCACCGATGAAGAAAGTCATAGATCAGAAGGATCAAACATATAAACACCTAAACGAAGACGAACGAAGACCGGATCCAAATAGATCCACCGAAGGTCAGCACCGACCGAATCCCACAAGATCCGACGGACACTAACCTCCACAGGCCCTCCCATGATGCTAGACGCATCATCAGGACGGGGATAGAACGTGGGAGACATTATTCCTACTAAGGAAAATTGTGATGCTATTGGTATTGAACTTGGCACCTGGTAACTGACACAAACATGGTAACAACTTTGACACGGACAGAATGGCAACTTTCTATATTATGGGGCGGAGCAAATTCATCTTGAAAAGTTACCATCTACTAGTAGGTAATGAAGTTTTGTGTTGGTATCAATGTTACCAGATGGCAATTTGAATTCTATACTCAAAACAAAAAATGAATTTGGAGCAGCACAAGAAACAAAAAACAGATCCTGACTCTTGAGACTAATTGGACCGTGATACAGTTTTATTACTAAAATCAGAAAAGATCGAAGGAAGGGATCGATGAATTGAGAAATGAGACACGTACAACAGTGAAAAAATTACTAGAACAACACACTACATTTAGCGCAGATCAAAGCTCAAGTGAACACATAGATCATACCAACTGCTAATTGTAAACTTGCATTTGCACAACAAATCTGCAGACCTAACCCTGAAATTTATCCTGATGCATGCATGTCAGGCAGAGCAATTGATGTTGCCCTTCGGGAAAATGTTTATCACGCTGCCGTCCTGGAAGACGTCGAAGAAGTCGACGGGCGGGCAGGAGATAGTAATGTCGTAGAGTCTGGTGTAGGTCACCCCAACCTTGAAATGGACCAGTGCTGTGACAATGATTGTCAACGTAGGATGGTCTCTGTAGTGCACCTTCTTCAAGTAGAGATCTAACAAGTCCTGCTCCACGAACGCTGCGACGGCCATGGATATGGGGCGGTTGGGCCGCTGGCTCAGCGGCATGGATTCATTCACCGTCGCCGGCACTGATTTCCTCTTCACGCGCTTACGGGCGAGCTGCAGGTTCACGATGACGTCCTTATACTCCACCCCTGCGCGATGGCTGGGGTTGCCGACGGTGAGGTTGAAGTTGAAGGACACCCCGGCCATTCCGTCCACGGTGCTGTTCGCACCGTTGGCGTCGGTGATGGAGAAGTGGATGCGCGCGGGGCTGAGGCTGACAGAGGTGACTATGATGACAGTGCTGGCGGCGAGGATTGTGGCCATGCCTGTAAGGATGAGCATGTTCGCCATGGAAAGCATGCTGCCGAGCGCGGTGCAGTTGGCAGTTGGCACTATAGCTAACAGCTGCAGAAGCTACTTCTTTAGGCCGGATGCAGATCCAGTTATATAATATTTGCTCGCGCAGGCCAGCTACTATTTTAATTTGAGATCATTTTGTCAAGTCCATTATTTTTGTTTGCATTGTTCAACACGAAGAAGACCCTTTCCCTTTGCTGCAGATTCCTAAGACTACAGTTTCACAAAAACTTGCAAAAAAGCAGATCACATCAAAGCCTTCCTGTTCCACTAGAGGGAGCATCCATCGTGGCACGCAGGCTCCTTCTTCCATGTATATATCACCCCACCTTGAAGAAAAAAGCATCACCCCGAGTGCGGCTAATCGGCACCCGGGCTCATCTGCACCCACGCTTAGAAAAAAATTCAAAAAAAATACTAGAAAAAATCAAAAAAATCTAAATTTTTTTGTGGTGGTAGATAATTTGACGCGTAAGGTGCGCCCCAAAATTCATCTCATTTGAGCATCTGAGCAGCTCTCGGCAAAAAAGACAAAATCAGGGTCTGTAAAAATATTCACTGTTCACGCACTGTTTTGACCCGATTTGTCTTTTTTGCCGAGAGCTGCTCAGATGTCCAAATGAGATGAATTTTGGGGCGCACCTCACGCGTCAAATTATCTACCACCACAAAAAAATTGGAATTTTTTGAATTTTTCTAGTATTGTTTTTGAATTTTTTGCTGAGAGGGAGCAGATGAGCCCGGGCACCGTTTTGAGTTTTCGCATCACCCCAGGAAATTAAAGAGAACCAGACCAGCTCTTAGACGCTTTCCCTTTATCACCCCTTTAGTCACTTGGCCTAAAGAAAACCTCTTTAATCACTGGGAGACCTACTCATCTTTTTAGCGTGATTAATTGTTAGTACGTCTATTAGCATTGGCATACAGTGGAGATACCATTTTCCTTTCTTTGCTCAATGAAGACCCGACCAATTCTTTACCATGTGTTGAAAAAAAAAACAAATATATCTTTACCACCTGTTGGAAAAAGAAACAAACATGTGGAAATCAGGAGTGGATCAGGAAAACAATTGTGCTGTTAGTGGGACGACGCAGGTGCTGATATGGGAGACCTAGTGTAGCACCCTGGACCAAAATTTAACAAAAAAAGGTTAGAACAAAATCCATTAGTTTTCTCTAAGCTATGAATAATTTCATAAAATCTTTATGAACTGTAAGAAGTTTAAAGTATCCATCGACTTTAATGCACTATAGAAAATTCAATAAGCTTTTATGAAATAAAGGAGAATCCAGATACTCTTTAAGTTTTTATGAACTTCGAAATATTATAAAAAGAAGTTCTATACAGTTAGAAAAAATTCTGAATTTTTCATCATTTTTTTTGTAAACTATGAAAGATTTTAGAAAGCTGTGGAAACTTAGTGAGATTTGCCATGTGTGTCTGCTCCAAAATATATATGAATATCAGCAAATATATGAGATGCAATATACTCTAATAAATACAACTACCAGTGTGGATCACAAAGTCATTGTGCTCTCCTCCGAACAGAGATCCCTAGTCCAAGGAGAGTCCCAGTAGGCTTGGAAGAGAGTCGGTGGTAAAATTTTAGGGTTTATTTCATCCGGTCGTAGCGTGTATCGACCTGCATGCATCATTACGTCATGTGTCGTCCACCATCATGTCCAATACCATAATGTTAAACTATAGAATTACGTCATCTGGTCCTTTTCTTTAGGAAAAGAAAAGGTAATCATGTGTTCCATGGGTACATCTTTGAACTAGGCATCACATATGTGTTCCATGAGTACATCGACTTTAATCATGTGTTCCATGGCCAAAATCTATGTAGTCTTTTTTCTTTTCCTTTGGGACAGAAATCACATATGCTTGTGAGTTTGCTACTCACTTTTTCTTTTGATATTGAATCAGACTGGTATGTGCCAGATAAGGGCATGGCCAACAGGCCATGCTGGACTAGCTAGTGCCCCAGGCTCCACATCAACCTAGATTCCCTAGATTAGAAAAAGGCTATTGCTTGCAGTGAGAGACGGGATCTTGCAGAGGAACCCGTCTCCCTGAAGAAAAACAGCTAGCCAAGGTGAAAAAGAAGGGATGTAAAGAGAGGATGTGGGACACGAAAGGTTGAAGGTGGGCCCAACAAAGAAAAATGTATGCGTGCTGCTTCCATTGTGGAATGACCATGGCTGTGTTTGCTTTATCTATGTGGAGTGTGGAGGAGCTATAAGGTGATGCTACCATTTTACATGCACAAAAATCAATAAAGAATCAGTAAACAAAAATAATTTTGTTGTTTTTAGAAAAGATAATCATGTCGCATGTGTATGTATCAGTAAAGGAAAATAATAGCCAGTACTTCTGCGGACCTACTTGTGGTCGGATGGTTAGAAGAACATTGATATCCCAGCCCAATGGGGTTCAAGTTCGAGACATGACACTGGTGCTTGCATTTTCCTGGATTTATTCCAGGCCTTCCGGCGATGTTCGTTCAGTGGGAGGAGATTTCTGTGTCGACTTCATCAATCTCAAGATGATGTGCCGACTCAATTATCCCTCGAAGGTGCTCATAGGGATAGGATGTGCGCGTTCATAGAGGTGAGTGTATGTACGTATGTATTAGCGTCATGTTGTGTTAATACAAAGCTGGCCCTTTTTATTTTGAAAAGAAAAGATGATCATGCGCTCCATAGGTATGCACATCACTGAAATTAGCCAAAATCAGGGACTCTTTCTTTGCCTTTGCGATAGTTAGTTTTTTTTCCTTTTCTCTCACTGAATATTTTGAAACACACAGATATATATATTTTATATAGACTAAATTTTGAAACACACAAAGAAAGAGTCCCTGCGTTGATTTTGACACATGCATAGTATTCATAGAACACATGGACTGAGACATATTAGTAAACCAGATAGTCTTGCACAATCATGATCACATGGACTGAACCCATAATATGTCTAGCTCCTCCTTTAGTTCCTCGAGATACGTGTTCACATCGTTTCCTGGTTGTGTCGGCCCTTGAATTAGGATACCCATGTGTATGTACTTCCACTTCATTCAGAGCTAAATAGATGTTGTACATTCATACAAACACGGGCCAGGTGCTATGTATATATGCTTCTCTGGATGCCAAAGAGACTTAGTCCATCCATATTGACACCTAACCTACGGCCTTCTAGGTATACACAATTGAGTGCTTTCCACTGGCAACCATCTGCAGAGTGTCTCAACATGCCATCATTTTTTGATGCGACCTTTCTTTCGTTGTGCCAACATACGTGCTTAGCTTCCTTCTTGTTTGTGTAATAATGCTGCAGGCGAGAAATGAGCGGAAATTACCTTCCAATCTTTCAAGGATTTTCTTTCCACACTTGAACTGGGATTTGTTGCACCTTGGACACTCCTCGTGCTCGTTTTGATAAACGATGCAATTAATTATTGACGCACATGCGGCATCTTATGTGTGGCAAATCAAGAGGGTGCGTTATCTTCTTGGCCTCTTCGATACTACTAGGCAACATGTTCCCCGCTGGAAACCTTGGTATAGATACTCCAATGTCACGTCCAGGCTTGCGCCCGTGCTTTTGTATTTTTCCTTGATGTCTATAAGTTTGAGCGTGACATCCTGGCGGGTGTGCTCGGGATTGTAGCCTTCACAAGGTAGAGTTTTCAAGTCTACTTCCAGTTGCACCAACTTGTTGGGCTCTCTAAAAGCACCTCTTTCATTATTCATCTTTTTCAGTTTTAAAATGAGGGTCCTCCAACATTGTGGCCAACGACCACTCCTGCATGAGAGACTCTTCTTCATGCCGGTCCTAATTTTCGTCATGGCTGGGCACCTCTTGGTCGTTCCCTTCTTCCTGCTCTCCATCGACATGGTTTCCCGCTCCTTCATCTGTCGTCCCTTCATCGACGTCGGAAACAACAACCTTCTCCTCTTTCACGTGCCTTGTCCAGATCCAGCATGAAACAAGATTTGAGCAAGTGCATCTTCACACCGCCACGAAAATGGGGTCGATCAAAACACTGTTTTCACACTTCTTACAAGGACATAACATCTCTGTGTTACCCTTTTGAATCATATCTTCCTCTGTCACTTTGAAGAACCAATTTATAGTTCTGTCCATGGAATCGTTCGATCGATCGAATGGCCTACAGGCTATAAGAAAAAGACTTGTAACCAACGAGGTTATAGAAAATTTCGGTTAACCTTTGGGCAAAATGGGACATATTGAAGCAAACAAAAAACTGTTCTTGACCCCTTGAGACTAATGGGACGTGATACAGTTTTATTAATACTAGCATCGAAGAAGATTGAAGAAGAGAATCAATGAATTTAGAAGAAAAAATTACTAGAACAGCACACTACATTTAGCGCAGATCGAAGGTCAAGCGAGCACATACATCATACCAACTGTTAATTGTAAACTTGCATTTGCACAACAAATCTGCAGGTCCAATCACGAAATATATTCTGATGCATGTCAGGCCGAGCAATTGACGTTGCCCTTGGCAAAATGATAACTGAAGTTGCCGTCCTGGAACTGGAAGACGTCGAAGAAGACGACGGGCGGGCAGTAGACCGTAATGTCATAGAGCCTGGAGGAGGCCACCCCAACCTTGAAACGGACTAGTGCTGTGACCATGATTGTCAACGTTGGATGGCCTCTGTAGTACTTGTTCAAGTAAAGGTCCAACAAGTCCTTGTCCACGAACGCCGCCACGGCCATGGATATTTGGCTGTGGCGCGGCTGGTACAGCGGCATCGGCATGGATCCATTCACCGTCGCCGGCACCGAGTTGTTCTTCAAGCGCTTACTGGGAAGCTGCAGGCTCACGATGACGTCCCTATAGTCCACCCCTGCGCGGCGGCTGGGGTTGTCGACGGCGAGGGTGAAGTTGAAGGACAGCCCGTCGTTGCCGTCCATGGTGCTGTCTGTCCCGTTTGCCGCGGTGATGGAGAAGTGGATGTGC